ACTGATTGGTTTGCCTAAAACTTTCGTTAACTCTACCCTCCCTTATATTACTCTTGCCTGATGATGAATTAATCGAAAACGTTCGTTCGCTTAACTTGGCTTCCTTAATATTTCTTAAGGACGACTTACGTGTGACATCGCAGTGTTCCGAAGTCTATGAGCGTGTAGTGGTCCGCTAGCGCCACTTGGGATCCATAAGCAGCAGCACTCTGCTGACCGTCAAATTCATCCTGCCTATTCTCCATTCCTTCTGTACAGAAGTAACTGTTCCTTTCACTCTGACCTCCTATGACTTCTCTTCGCCTAAGGAACCAGGCCCGAAGATCGCAGTTGTTAAGGTTTAACTTAATTAATCCCCTGCGATCAGCGTCTTTTCCTATTATATGTACTGAAACAGCTGCCGTACTTATGAAGTGCAATCGGTAGAAATTCAGTCCAGTGTCCGGCAAGTGACGGATACAAATAGAGTCAGAGACTAAAGGTGGACAAATTCCCGTATGCAAATCTAGCGTAATGACTTCCCACTTAGAGAAATTACGAAACATATGTATAAACTGGACTATAACATTCTACTGGAATGAAAGCCTTCACTTACACTTTTCTTACATTCCACAGAACCCTTACAGTGGTCCCGGCCGCTACACGCCATACGAATACGAGAATGCCCATAACCGCCGTTATGAGGGTGTATTCAAAGTTGTGCCACGCACCTATGATGTTCAACAGTATAAACGTCAGAGGTAAGTGGTTATGTGCAGGAAGAAGCTAAATCTCGGCTCTACTCTCTCTCCCACGCCCGTGCACCAGAATAAGCCCTTTTTCTGAACAGTTGAATTTTTCTAGAAGACAAAAACCGACTTTTAGGAACAAGACCGGAAGCACATGAAGCACGCGTTTACGATAAGGCGTTAACATTTACACCTCGCCATTAACAAGGCATGTCCTCCTCAGACCGGACAGACTTTTATTTCTCACTGCCGCTGTCTGCTCGGCCATTCGCGTTCGGAGTAATCTCCCGGATTCTCCGACGTAGTTTCTTTGTCCACGACTGCACCAGATCCAGTAAACGACTACAGTGGGTAGTGAGCTGCAACCCGGGAGTTAGCGTCTTTCTTCCTCACCACTGCTGCCTGCTTGGCCATTTGGGTCCTGAGTAATCTCCCGGCGGAGAGGCAGAAAGACGCCAACTCCGAGGCTGCAGCTCATTCGACGGGACACGGCCATATTTTCAAGTTCAACTAGGCCGAAATCCTTGCAGGAGGTGACAACTGCGTGGGCCGTTAGCTGCTCGAGTAATGATTCTCACGCCCACAGTCCATTTACAAGCGCAAAGATTTGTCGTTCCCATACTATGTACTAAGACATTACGTGAGGAAGAGAATAAGTCATGTGGGAAGGACAGGGCCCAGCAACAACTATGACGACAGTGAGCATAATTGTCGCGCAATTATCAAGCCGGCATCCGACACGGACGAGGAGATCGCGGCCATTAATGAGTTGAAAGGGAAATGTCATGCCAATACCGCACCAATTAAAACCCCAAGCGGTGGCTACAGGAGCTGATAATTATAGTAGGCATGCGGATGACCGATAAGAACTATCAATGCCATGCAATCTGTACATGAATCACCCCCATCTGCGCATGTCTTACACTATTCTACCGTTACCTATGATTAAGGATTCTCAAGAGGATCCGAAACATCAGGGAAATAAAATTCTTGTTCCAGTGATTGCATCTTCTTCTTCAGACCTGAGAATATTATTCCGTTCAGCTGTCGCGAAGATACTCAGACCCGAGTCAGCTGCGATCGCTGATCATTCCGCGGCCCGAGTTCTCTTACGTGGTGTAAAATGAACCGTAGTCGAATGCCCCTATCACCTCAGTTGACAGCCCAAGACCTTTGCAGTGTGGTGCAATATCTGTGTGCATAACAGTGCCCCTGGTCATGGAAACGCTAGACCAAGCTAGTGGTCCCGTCGTGATTGCTGATCATTCCACGGCTCGATTCATCTTGCATGACATAAAATGAACCACGATCGCATGCCCCTACC